TGTTCACGACTTTCTCAGATACACCTTACTGTCGAAGAACTTTTCATAGGGTTCCTATATCCACACTGTCAAACATTTTCCCATAATGAAGGAAGTTGGATGGATAATGATGAGTGCCATTCAACTGATTGTTCCACGATAAACCGTAGTGTCGAGATTTCGTCTATGCATGACCGATCCTTACGGAATCTAGCCTGTTGATTTTGAAGCTGGACGTCTACTGAATATTTCATCTAGTTCGGCAACACTCTGTCGAAGACTGTTCCTGGTACCGGTAGTAATGTGATTCCTCTGTAGCTCTAACACGCTCAAATCTCCTTTCTTTGGTATCGTGATGAGGTATCGCTCTTTGCGTCTGTCGGTGCTTGTTCCTCCTGCTAGATTTTCTTGAATAGAACAGGAAGTATGTTTCTCGTAACTTCTTTGTCTGGCTTCTGTGCTTTTGTCTGCTTATTGTCAGGTCCGGCTGCTTTCCCGTTCTTAATTCGTCTTATGGCTATCTTGATTTCTTCGATTGTTGATGTATTGAAAACTATAAGAATATCTTTGTGTGCTGCTTCACCTTCCGGTGGCTTCAGTGGTGCTGGTCTATTCACGTGTTTTCGAAAGTGTTCTATTCATCTGCTTTTGAGTCTCGGTTATTGCCTTGCCTCCTTTTTACTTGACCAGTTTCTCTGGCTTACTATATTTCCCTACCAGTCTCTTCTTTGTGTCATGTAGTTGTTTGATATTTCCTTTTCTCCTGTCCTTTCTAGCTCTTCAACATATTTTTGCTTGTCAGACCTAATGCTCCTCTTTACTTGCTTGTTTGCTTCTGTATAGTCAGCTTGTGCCTTTACTTTCTATGTTATTGCTCGATTGTTGTTAATTGCTGTCTTCTTGTTCTTCTTTTCTTCAATCTTGTTCAGCGTTCCATAGAGATCCATTCATTATGATAAAGCTTGTTACAGCCCAGAACCTCCTGACACGTTGAAGTTAGTGATTCTTTGATCCCCTTCCAGTTAGACACCATCATAGTTCCTCTTTCATTGAGTAAATCTTGCAGGGTTTGGAACTCATTGTTGAAAGTTATCTTGAGTTCGCAGAGTTTGTCGGTATCGCGAAGGAAGGTTGTATCAAACCTTTGTAATGGTGTTTCTCCAATTGTCCAGTGCTTCTTCAGCTTCAGTTTCATATTGGCCACAACCAGGTGGTGATCTTAAGCTATGTCAGCTCCTCTCCTGGTACTCACGTTTTCCATTATCCTGCTATCTTTTCAATTGATACAAATATGATCGATCTGGTTCTTCGTGGTGTGGCCCGGTGAGACCCATGTAACTTTGCATGTACATCTGTGAGGGAAAATAGTATAACCGATAACCATTTTGTTGAATGTACAAAAATTGGTAAATCTCTCGCCTTTCTTGTTTCTTACTCCCAGTCCATGTCGTCCCACGATATCTTCATAACCGTTGTTGTCCATTCTGATTTTGGCGTTCAGGTCTCTTATCAGGATGGTCAGATCCTTTTCTGGGTAGTTCGCTATGATCGACTGCAGACTCACGTAAAACTGATCCTTATCGTCGTCGTTGTTATCATCGATGTCTGCATAACATCGGATAAAATTCATCGTGATCCCATCCTTCTTCGTTCTGAAGAATGCTTTGATGATTCTGGATCCATGAGATTCACATCCTATAAGTGATTTTGGTGATTCTTCGAACAGCATTAGGGCAACTCCCTGAGTTTGTGGGGCATCTCCTTCTTCGTGACCAGAGTACAGCAGCACCTCACCCGAATATTTCCTTTTCTGTTCATCTTGAATTCGATGAGTTTCACTTATTCCAAGCACTATCAAGTAGTAACTCCTCATTTGCGCAGCTATTTGGTTGGTTCGAATATTCTATGTACCTATAAAAATGTTGCTCTGGTTGTTAGAAAGGGTATCGGCCTCGTGACTTCTGAAAAATTTCGGTTTTCACCATGGGGCGTCACATGTCTTCTGGATGAAGATTTTTTAACTCGGAGGACAGAGTTTAAATAGTTAAATTTGTTTAATATGATTGGCGCTTTTTATAGCGAGGATATGTTCTACGGGATGGAATTGCCAACCGCATGCCCAATCCTCCTCCTTTACACCGGATTGTGACTGGTAGTAACCTTAGAAGAGCTATTACCAAAGAAAATTATAAATAGAAAGACTAAAATTTCAGGACAACCTGTAAGCGGTTTTAATTTCCTTTGAGTAACTTCAATCGCTTATTATGCCCAAAGTAGATCCCTGAATTAGTGTAAATAATTAAAATTAAGACTGTGCTGCAATTTAAAGTGAAGAATTAGAGTCAGGGTTTCAATCTTGAGCTGATTTTAACTATCATTGTTGGGCGAATTTTGCTGAAAATGCCAAGAGGAGCTATCTGAAATTTCATTAGTTTGTCCGTAAATTTTAGTTCTACCATTTTTCCCAATTATGTAGTGTATAAAATGTTTAGGTTTTCAGTTGAAATGTTAAGTCATTTTAATTTAATTAATTATGGTACTTTCAATTGAGTTAATATGAGTTAATAGTGTCTCAAATCAAAATCTAGGATTATATCCACTACATTTCTTTACGTTTAATTTCTTAAATTTAATTTGGCATTGGCCATGTTACGTTCTTCATCTGTCTACCCAGTAATATACGGAAGACAACTTGTATCGATATAAGTTATTCTTTGAGACGACGAGCTGACCGGTTTAACCCTGAGGCTAGAAATGCGTGAGTCCGAATAGAGACTAACGACCTTGGCCAAAGAGATGTAAACTATTCTATCACCTGATTGATTGTCAAGAGAGAGAAGATGATTCAACTGGAACACTATTCGGTTTATTCCTGATCACCGATCCCGATTCACATTAGTGTAAGAAGATATATGAATAAATAGATGACTAACATGATCACAACGCAAAAACAACTAGAAAAATACAATTATGGTCAGGAAAATTGAACACAAAAGGTTAGGTTTAAATTAAAATAGCTTTGGAACAGGAAAGGGTACGGCAATGAATCATACGTCAAACGAAAGTAACAAAACTAAATGTTAGTAAGCAAAGATGGATAGTGGCTAGTAGTGGAATCCAGGACGCGCATTTCGTTCTATTTGAAACTCGTCAGCTGAATGTACCTACATCTCAGAGTTGATGTTCACTCTGGGACTCAAACCCAGTACCGTTCGTTTCAAACGCCATCGCGTTATCCACTTAGCTACTGGGCCCTGATAGCCAACTGCTTGTGCTTGCTTATAAAGCTTATGACTTCAGGCAATATCAAGGCAGTCCACACAGGATGCACATATGGCCAACAAGAGACTGATAAATTACAGTCCTAAATAACAATGGGAATATACAAGTATATAACACCAAACTAAATGTTAGTGTTTTGCAAACTTGTAATTAAGTGAAATAACATCATAAAAATAGCTTTCGTTGTTTGCCATGGCCTCCTTTTTTCCCTGTTAACGTCAGGTCTTCATTAACAGCAGTAGTAAAAACACCATACAAAATAATTACATAACTGTACAGGATGAAAACGCACTAATTCATGTGTTTCAGTATATATATATTTAGGCCTTCAAAATGATCGTTAACTTATCTAAAAAAAGTTTTTTTACTTACAAATAGATTATATGGTTTATGATGTGATATCGTGTAGACATCACTGGCTCCTTTTTTAACTTTGATTGATATACCCATGTAACTATGTAATAGTAAATATTGAAAGTTACCAAAAAAGTTGTTAAATAAACACTTTGTCAGTGATCTTCAATAAGAATAATATTTAATCATTGATTTTGGAGGTGTTATGTTTTACAGATCGGATTGTTTAGTTGTATAGTTTTTATATTATCTTTCTAGACATCATTATTAACATATACTTTTCGTTAAGGTATAAATTGATAATGCCTCTGCATCAATAGGCCTCAACAAATACAAAGGAAAAAGCAAGATTCTCAAATACAACACGGGGAACACCAAGCCAAACATATTTGATGGAGAAACTCTGGAAGAGGTGGAAACATTCATGTACCTAGGAAGCATCATTGATAAAGAAGGAGGATCTGATGCAGATGTAAAGGCGAGGATCGACAAAGCAAGGACAGTATTTTTACAATTGAAGAACATATGGAACTCAAAACAACTGTCAACCAACTTCAAAGTGAGAATCTTCAATACGAACGTCAAGACAGTCCTTCTGTATAGAGCTGAAACGTGGAGAACTACTACATCCATCATCAAAAAGGTACAAGTATTTATAAACAGTTGTTTACGCAAAATACTCAACATTCACTGGCCGGATACTATCAGCAACAGCGTTTTATGGGAGAGGAAAAACCAACTTACAGCTGAAGGGGAAATTAGGAAAAGATGTTGGAAGTGGATCGGACATACATTAAAAAAACCACCAAACTGCATCACGAGGCAATCCCTAACTTGGAATCCGGAAGGGAAGCGAAAAAGAGGAAGGCAAAGAACACATTACGCCGAGAAATGGAAGCAGACATGAGACGAATGAACAAAAATTGGATAGGAACGCCCAGGACAGAGTGGATTGGAGAATGCTGGTCGACAGCCTATGCTCCATTGGATGTAACAGGCGTAAGTAAGTTAGTAACAACATTAATAACATCAGTATACATGCCAACAACATACTTATCAAACAAACAAGACTACATTCTTATTAGTACATTCAGTTAGATACATAACTATTCAATAGATATTTCTCTTCTAGACATTATGATTGAAAAGCATATGATTTATACACGTGAATTATAAATAAAATGCCTTTAGAAGCCAATATTTTTATTGGTTAAACTGATGAACAGTAGTTGATCAGCTTAACTAATGATATCAATCAATGAATGAATAGAACTATATAGTATATATAGTACTGTCACAGGGTCTACCCTTGGAAACCACACTATAATATTACTATTATTATTATTACTAATAGTAAAGATAATACTATACTCTTCTGTATACAAATGGTCATATTAAAATTAATCCAGAAAGAGTTTAATCATGATGCTCAAATTATATTCATATGGAAATTACAAAAACTTACTCATATATTAGAATATACAGATATATTAAAGAAATTACATGAATTAAATAATTTCAAATATCAAGATTATATAATTGAATGGAATCGTAAGTGTTTTTTAAAAAAAAAAGAAATGTGTAATTATGTATATATATACCCAAAGTTTGTCCTGATGATGTCGTTCAAAAAGAGAGATGATGAAAGATCCATGACCAAACCATCCAGTTCAGTGAATAAAACTCGATTAAAAACATTTGATTAACATTTTATTATATAGATGAGATCATGAGTCAATTGGAGCTAGACAAACATGGAAAACCTGGAAACACTAGACGGCTGTTTGAATCTCACGAGGTGGAATCGTGGATGCGCACTGCTGAGGAGTCCCACAATATGACGAAATGGCCGTCCAGTGCTTTCAGGTTTTCTATGATGATCTAGCTTCAATTGACTCATGATCTCAACTATATAAAATTATTAAAATCTCCACAAAAACCCCTTCTGATAATATTTCATTAGTTAGTTTTTAAAAATACTATTTAGTTTTGTTATGTCGATTGCATGTGTGCTGTGTTTAATATATGACTTGATGATCCCCGCCAATTAGATAGGAGTGAATTATCGATCAGAGCAATGATACACAAAAGCCTTATGAGCAGTCTTCAGTACTTGTCGGTCCTGCTATCTACCTAACCAAGCCACTTAAGTCAAGAACACCATCCTCTGCAATATGAATAATTATTCTCAAATATACCAAACAAACTGACCACATCGTACCATAAAATGCAAAATAACATTTGTATAATATTTAGCCAAATATGGATGTGAATAGAGGGAACAGTAGTTAATAGACTGGGTATAACTCAGGAATGGTAAATCGTATGATAATAGTCTATAGGTCAAAATAAAGCTCATAATAAAAGGAACATGAATATGAATAGTTAAGTTACTTAACAATTATACAATAGGAAATATACACATCATATTGGTTCATAAATAGTACTCAAAGTTACCATTCATAATTTTCTTCGGGGTATATCAAGTTTATTATTTAGTTTAAACTCATGGCATATAAGTATTGATAATGTTTAGTTTGAGTTTATTTGATGAATGGTACTTATTGTTGATAGTAGTATTGGAGGGAATGAACACTTAGTTGAGGAAGACCAATTTACTGTTTATTATATAATTGTTTAATAGTTTAGTAAAATGTGAAAATCATACAGCCAATACATCATTTGCACTTTTTTGAAATGCTCTCTAAATACTTCATTATTTATCTTATTCTGTTGTTATCTCAATCGGTTTCAGTTTCCTTCTTTCTTTTTTTCATTACGATTTTTCAATCTTCTGCTAGAAGACATTCTACATCCGACTGGTGTCACTTACTACTTATATCTGTAAACATGATTAGCATAAACCACAATACAGGTTCCCTGTTATTCCTTATGTTCGCATCTTGCGAGGTGGGATCGTGGATGTGCACCACTGGGAAGTCCCACAATAGGACGAGATAGCCATCCAGTGCTCCCATGTTTTCTATGGTGATCTCGCTTCAATTGACTCATGATTTCATCTATATAAAGTAATAATTTATTCAGCATGCGTCGTTTCAGTATCTTAAGATCTACCACTTATATAACGACTACATATCAGTCAGTTTCAGTGTTTTAACCACTATAGAGACTTTTATTTCAAAATTTAATTCTTATGAATTCATTAACGTATAAACAATTGTGTGTATCGATGTGAATCATTGAAAGATTCTTCCTTGTTAACATTTACCAAATGTTTACATCTCTAAAACTCTTTCAAATTTTCTGTTTACTTTTATTCATATCGTGTTGTTTTCGTTTCTGCTAGAATGAAGGCAACTGTTTATTGCTTTTTTCACAAGAAGATAAAACTTTGTAATATTTTTTCTTCTAACAATTTTGTCAAATTTGACTTACAGTAATGTAGACAACTTAATTCTGTATTAGATTGGTTGAATTTAGACATTAACACCGCTGGATCACGGCTCAGTGGTCTAGAGGTTAAGCGTTCACATGCAAAGCCGAAAGTCCTAGGTTCGAGTCTCGTGTATCGGATTGTGGGTGTGCCCTGATAATAAGTCCCATACTAGGACGAAAAGACCTTCCATAGCTTTAATGGTGGTCAAATATGATTTCTATGTGCTGTATTGTAACTGAGATAATAAAATTATCTCTTGAATATATTAATTGGACATCAAAAGAATCAATTAAATTTAAGACCACTTTATCAAGTAATTCAAGTATTTCCGATGACTTCGTTTTGTCTCTTTCCCTACTTTTTACCATGCATAACTATTTGTTGTTACTAAATGACAATAGAATTTGAGTTAATAGTTTGTGATAATTCTGTCATTCCATTTTATTGAGAATTTTCTTCCGAATTACATCAATAAGTTTTAACTATAATTTTGTAGGCTATCAGGATAATAATTGAAATTGTTATGACCATTTGTTGACTTCATCGTCACTTACATAGAAAATAAATAAAATAATTCTGATTTTATAGGGTTGAGATCATGAGTCAATTGAAGCTAGACCACCATCGAAAACCTGGAAGCACTCGATGGCCATTTCGTCCTCTTATAAGACTCCTCACCAGTGTACATCCACGATCCCGCACTCACGGGATTGAACCCAGGACCTACCAGTCTCGCTGCAGAGCTCTTAACTGATAGACTACTGAACCGGTATCTAACGGTGTTAGTGTCCAACTTCAACCGATCCATGAAATTGAGCAACCATTCATTAATGTCATCAGGGAGTTGGTATCTCCAATTGACTAATGATCTCAACTCTATAAAATTATTAAAATATCCACCAAACCCCTTATGATAATTCTGATTTTAGTAAATCTGTGTAAGTTATGGACAGTTGATTTTTACTAAATTTTAATTAAGAGAATAATAAAGCTTACTTACGCCTGTTACCCCTCATGGAGGATTATAGGCTGCTCACCAACATTTTCCACCTAACTTTGTCTTGGACAATCCCTTCCAGTTCTTTACAGATGCGATTCATTCTTTTCATGTCTGCTTCTAATTCTAGACGCAGTGTTTTCTTTTTCCTTCATCTTTTTCATTTCCCTTCAGGATTCCAAGTTATCGCTTGCCTCGTGCTGTGATTCGGTAATTTTCGTAATTTATGTCCTATCAACTGTTATCGTCTTTTCCTAATTTCTTCTTTAGTTGGAATCTGATTTGTTCTCTCCTACAGTAGATTGTTGCTGATGGTATTCAACCAAAATAATAAAGCTATCTATGTATATTTATTATTAGCTTATTTCATAATTACTATCGATATCAATAGTAAGCTCTATTTCGTATTATCTCACAATCCTTAATTGTATGTAACCGAAATTATCACAGGAATCAATACTCCTTGTATGATTAAAACAATTAAATCTATCAATATAGACAGTCATGGTGATTGATGTGATTTATTGATTTTTTTGTAGTATCTAGGTATTCTATTTATTGATGAAAATAATCTCCATATTAACCATGAATGGAATTTCATTTATACGTCAATTTAACCAACTCTATTCATTTTTTTTATTTGTCTTATAGATAATCATAATATGTATCAAATTACAAATACAGAAGAGTTAAAAAATGCACTGAAAGAATTATATCGTAAATATATAAAAGATCGATGTATCCGATTTCATATTACACCATTATCTTATTATCATGAATATGAACCACCGCCACCGTATGAAATTCCTTCTTCTTCTTCGTCTTCATTATTATAGCTTACAAATCATTTCTATATACATATTAAAAAGAAAAAGACAATCATACATAGTTTGTTTAACTTGTCACCAATGATATTAATCAGATGTATTGAATGTAATTGATTGTATTAATGTTTAAAGTATCTTGTATAGATTCATTGATATTATAAACAGTAAACAGATAATGGATCTTATGAAACGTTTCAGTTTCTATGATTTCATATTTCACAATGTTAGTTTATTGTTATATAAGCTTGTAGACTATATCAATTATGTGTATATGTTAAATTACTATCTTGATTGTAAAACAATGGAAGAAACGTCTTGATGAATGAAGACAGTTCAACGGAGAGAACTTTCTTTTTGACATTGATATTAACTTAAACTGTACAGTTGAATTTAAAAATTAATTTTATATATGGTTATCTATAATAAAATAGTGAAGTGTTGGATCTTTTAAGAAATGAATCGAAAACAATCAAATGTGTCCATATATTGACTAAGAGTTGTGTAATAGAAATGAATATAATTTTTAAAAAAAATAATATTTTATAGAAGTAATGAGAAAGAAAATCATCTATATTTTCAATGATCAGTATGGGGTTGTTTTTGATTGAAATCATGAATCGTTTGATGTAAGACTACCACTGAAAACTTGGAAGCATTGGACGGCCGTTTCATCTTAGTCTGTGGCTCCTCAGCAGTGAGCATCTACGATCCCGCTCATGAGACTCCAATCAAGAGCCTTCAGGCTCGCGTGCGAACGCCTAACCTTTAGATCACTGAGCCGAGAATCAACGCTGTTAATATTTAACCTCAACTAATCCACAAAATTGCGCGACGACCTTCCATTGCACTGAGGTAGATACCTATCTCTAACTTACACGAATTAGCTCAACTAGGCACTCTGAGAATTTCCTAACGAAGCTAGTCACAAGTGAGCACATGGCAATTATCAATATGGGGTTGTGGAGATTATTAAATAGTATTAAATCATTCTTCATTAGTATTTGACAAAGTTTATTCAATTGAGTATCAATTTCACCCTTCATTTACTTTGTTTAATTTATCTTCTTAATTAGTGCCATCTAACTCTGAAAGTTCATATACTAGCTATTCCAAGTTAGCTTATTTATATTATTCTTTGTAGAGATTCATTCTATCCTCATTTCAATAAAACATTGAGAAAAGGAAATTTTCAGTTCAATTCCATTTCATTAACAAAGTAATCGACAGAAGGGATTTATTGAACTAATTTAATGTCATTAACAATATCATTGTTGTCATCAAATATAATGAAAATATCGTCTAAATATCATCACTTAAAAGGAAGTTTATTGGTAATTTGTTAATAGGTAGGTCACCAAACGGCCTGCTAGAAGATGGTTCACTAGTGATCGTATTATACCGCTGGGTATTTGTTCATAGAAATCTTTAATAAATGTTTGTTGAACCTTGATTGATCAGTTTTGGAATATTTTCTTTAGATAATGTTTTAGGATGCCGATATTAAATGTATTGTATTTTGTGGGTTGGATATTTGGGAAGAAAGAAGAATCGTTTAATGAAATCATTCCCTTTTCAGGTACACTGGCGTCGGTTGTTTAGTCCATAAAAAGAAAGGAATTAGAAATTTCATGTCAAGTGAAATGGTTCACAACCGGCTATAGATCCATAGGAGTTTAGTTTAGAAACTTGTATAAAGGCAAGACAGAGTGATGAATCCAAAACTATTTGTAAATGTTTTTAACACAAGCTATTGCTTATATTTCGACACTTGATATGACTATTGTGTCTTGTATAAAATTTCGATCCAGTGGTGTAAAGAGTTCTGTTTGAAGGTCTTCTTGTGATGTTTTACTAGCATTGAAAGTGTCTTGTTATAAATTAGCATAATTTTAAATGTACGGACAAAATTTAGAACAAAATAATATTTTGCAGCAAATCATTATAATATCGACTTAGTATTGTTTGTTTGAATCTTCCCATTTATGTTTAGGACTGCAATTGATCAGTCTCTTATTGGCATATGTGAATAATGTGCATATTGCCTCGATATAGCCTTAATTCACAAGCATTATAAGCGAAGATGGGTAGTAGCTAACAGTGGAATCCAGGACGCGCATTTCGTCCTATTTGGGACTCGTCAGCTAGATGTACATGCATCTCAGATTTGGTGTTCACCCTGAGGCTCCAACCCAGTACCTTTCGCTTCAAACGCCATCATGTTATCCACTTAGCTACTGAGTCGCGAACATCAACTCTGAGATGCAGGTAACTCCGGCTGACGAGTCCCAAATAGGAAGAAATGCGGGTCCTGGATTGCACTGTTAGCCACTATCCATCTCCGCTTATTGTAATATCCGCACAAATATCAATAAATATATGTAAGAACTATAAATGTTATAAGGCTAATTATTCTTTTCAATTTAAAATGTTCTGTACCTAAACTTTTTTCAACTTGGATTACATCACATACATCGACTGTTAAAAATAAGTACCACTGAGTAAATGTTTTTAATTATTGTGTACATATTTATGAACTGTACTTGTTACAGATAGATATTAGTTGAGGTACCGCTGAAAATCACAGATCACTGAGGATATCTTTTGCCTTGGTATAGGGCTCCTTACAAGTGTAATTGCTCACGACAACACCAATAGTCACAGAAACCTTCAAACAATGTATATATATACATACGTAATTACAATTCTTGTAATGGCGCAGTATTTGATTGAATTCTAATATGGTAGAAATTTGACTTTGAACCACACGAATGTGTACTGATTTTAAAGATATTGCAAAATATCAATCTAAATTTTAAAACCATAGTCCAAATGTTATTCATCCCATGATGTAAGTTTATTCGTTTGGAAATCAAAAAGCGATATGGAGCACTTAGTACCAATGAAGTATGTGATTTGTTATTAGCAACGTGAATATATAAACCTTTCTAAATAAAATACACACCAGGTGCACAAACTAGTGTTTGTTTAAACTCAATAGTTCAATGGACAAGGAGTTGTAATTTTAAGAGGAAGGTATCGGATTATAATCTCAGTGAGAAAAACACCACCGGAATTCAGAAACATCCACGGGAAAAATCCTAAATTTAACGGAACCTGTATCTTAGATTTTAATGTTAGTCACAATCCAACTTTGATGAAAATTTGTTATTCAATTTCAATATCAAGATTATCTGTTCAGAGTGCATGTATTCCAATAAAAACTGATCAGTTACTTTCTTTAAAATCATCAACAGGGAAATGTCAACTCTTTCAAAAAATTTAACATATCAAGACTATTTGACTCAAATCCGCAAATCGAGAAGGGTTATATTGTTGTTATAATATAAATTGAAGCAGGAATAAACGTATTGCTGTCGAATATGATTACCACTTGCCAACAACGTTTAATATGAAATAGGATCATGCTCTAGCAGATTATGAACTCCAGCAAATTGTATAGTATGTGCACGACGATTAACCAGAAATTTTACAAGAATTTAATAGAGCTTTTCCGACAGCATGATGTATTTCCTATTACTGACTAATGTTTCTTGTTTAGGGAGAGTTTAATGATTCCAGTTGCTTTCAGCTGTTGATCATCAAAACAGCTCCACGTAAGTGATCCGGATATGCATGATCTGAGGTTACTAGCATGCAGCTACGTTAACTGAACACGAATGGGTAGGGACATTGAGAACATGGTACAGAAGTGTCTACAATGTGTCCAATCAGCAGAACTACCACCGAAGGTTCAGGAATCCCTAAAGTTATGTTCAGGGAAGCAATGATTGGTGTTCATGCTGATTTTGCGTCAAATATCGTAGGCATTAACAATCACACTGCTGAATAGATTTGCCGTGTAACTCGGTCTTATGGGAACATCGGTTGGGGAAAACGAGCCTTAGTTCACATTAAAAATCTCCTCAGACTTTAATTTCAAGAATGTGGTTATACATATTTGATCGCCGCCCTACTATTTTCAGTCGAATGACCAGGCTGAGAGTCTCGCTGATGCAACCAAGTGAGTTCTCATCTATTTGAAAAAGTAAGAGAAAAAATTGAAGAAAACATACGGATTTTTTTGAAAGCAGGATGTAGGAAACCATTTCCTACAGATGCAACTTAAGCTATGCTCTAGACTGTCGAGTACAGAGTCTTGGTTTCGCCAAAGTTAGAACAAGTAAGCTATTTGGCTTAATAAACTTTATCTGTTTCTGAAACGTAAATTAACAACGTTAGTATGCGAATAAACAGTCCAGTCTATTATATAGGGTAAAGGAGAGACATAAACTAGATACCGAACAGTAACTGGAGAATAGGAAAAATGAGCCAACAAGGCGATTATTGTTTTAGAATGAACATAAAATTGTGATTGGTAGATAAAACAAAGACAGTCATACAAGGTCAGAGACGTTAGTGTTGTGGTGAGCGTTTCACTTTATCATTGGTGTGCTCGTTTATCGATCTCAATTTACACAGGATAACGTCGAACCCAGCCCCTTCTAAAGGTATCACTCTGGCTAAAGCGATGCCGGTGATAAAAATTCTCACTTCATTGAATGCTATGTACCCATAGGAAGAAAAGCAGGGATAGAAACCAGATGTGAATGGGACTGAACGTCAATTGCCTGACTGTTTGCTGGTGTATGCATGAAGCTTTCGATAGTGCGGGCCTGTCTAAGTAGTTAGTGCCATCGAAGAAGAGTCAGTGCAGTGATTTGATAATTCAATATCCAGGAAAAATGTTTGGACCAGCGAGTGAACAAAATGATACTCAGAGAGCTTACGTCAGGTACAGAACCCTGTAGGTGCAACCTTCAATTGCACCAACTTATTAATATAGTCGATCGGAAGCAACCTGGTCATGCAACCAAAAACAATGATCAAACCTTGAAAAGAACAGCGATAAAACAGCCTTCTTCAATGGCTTCAGCTGCATCCAAAATTTCGGACCTATTTCCTAGAAAAAAAGGGAATATGACAAAACCAAATTAGAAAAACCAAGTTTG